GCTAACAAGCCACCCAGCTTCCACCTGAATTACCCTTTGTCTCTCTCAGGCCCATATGCATGCCTGTCTGCTCGTCCTCACCAGTGTGTATGTGTCGCCTCTTAGGTTTGTAAGCTCCTCAAAAGGCTTTTATGTGTATCCTCTATAAAATCTCACTGACACAGCCCTGAACACTAACAAGGTGACTTATCTACCAGCTTACACAAGTAGAGCTGCAGCCATTTAGGAACAAAATGCTTTTAATCTTACAACTGTATGTTTGTTTTTTTTGTGTCATTCATATTTTTTTCAGTAGATGATTAAAGTAAAAATTGGTTACTACTAATACTACCATACCACTGCTCTTAATTTTTGAATTGGTAAAATATTTGTCGATACATGTTTTTCTCCGAATTTAAAAACAGACGGACTTTTCTGTCATCTTGCTATAAAGAAGAATCCTATGCAAAAATTGGAGAATTACTTTTTGCAATGTTTGACAATAAATTCATTTTTTAGCAAAAGTGACAAGAACAAGACAAGACGATGCATGCAAGAAAATGGTGCCTTACCAACAATTAGTTCTGTTCCTTGGTGACCATTTGTCCACAGAACAAGTGAACGTTATGGTTTCCGACCATTGAACATACGTTTAGTGTCTTCTCCAACTGTTTCATTCCTACACGGTGGAGATTAGGGTTGTAATGGTATAACTGTAACACTGTATACCGCAGTATTAAAATGTACGGTTATTAAGTGTAAATTTGCTTTTCTACATTATTTTAAAAAACTGAAATAAATGAGTATAGACATACAGAAGCAGGTCGTGCACCTACAATACATGTTCATTTTGAATAATAATGGGAGATTATTTAGAAAGCTCTCAGCTGTTATTTTTTATTTAGTAGTACATTTTACATGCTATAGTCCTGCTAACGTGTAAACTATTATGCTTTAGTGATGTGACACTTTAGTTACATGCTATACATGTGTTTTCATTCCTTTAAGGGTCATTGTAATTGATAATAAAAATATTAATGATTATATTGACAAAAGTAATAATAATAATATAGTTATAGTAATAAGAATAGTTGTCAACTAATCTACGAAAAATAAATAAATGCTGAAAAACGCCTCAGTGAGTTTAATTTTGTTTTTGGCGAGATTGCGTGACGTCTCTTCTACGACGACTTCGAGTCAATAGCTTACACACATCGCCGCTTGTTTCTGAATTAAGTGTGTTTTATGACGCCTTATACATATATACCCTTTAACTAGGAAGTCCCATTTAGACTCTGACTGCTGAGGGCTGAGTGATACAGGGGGTCAAGTTTGGACAAGGTGGTGCGGCAAACCTGTAGATGGTATCACCCTGATCGATCTGGGTCAGAAAAAGGCCAGCATCTAAGTGCTTTCTTGATGCCCTAGATATACAGGACTTCAGCCTGTACAGAAAACCAGTGATACAGTCAAAATGGTGTTCATGAAAGTTCAGACTTTTAGCATTTGTTATTGTCAACAGACTGATGGAGACACACCGTCAGGAGTATTAATGCAAAGGTTAGGAAATAGTGTTAGTCCGGGAGTGAAAATCATAGTTTACAGCCCATTAGTGTGTCTAGACAGGGGATTAGCCAATTATAGGTTTTATTCATTCAAACACACAGTACAGCAGTAGTCCTTGCAGACACACCTGGCGGAGATCTGCAGTTTACAGAGAGCACCTTATCTCGTTTGCCTTATTGCACGTATACTCATCTTCACCTCTGCCATTCTCATCCTCCTTTCTCTTCCTCAAGTTTCAGGAGCTTATATATTTTACTTTATTACACATCTCTTTCAATTAATAGTTTTAATGAACAAGGATGTCACATTAATGACACAAAGCCTAGTAGTTAATGTTGCATGACAGGCACAACTGGACCTGTGAGACACTTTATCCTTTGTGTGTGTGTGTGTGTGTGTGCATGTGCTGTATACACTCAATGTGCCTTTGTGTGACTGAAAGTTACCCCGTCTAATTTGGTGTCCATGGCCCTATACTTTTTACAAAGACAATGTTGCCTTTTTAATTTTGTTTACAGTTATCAATAATAAGTGCTGAGAAAAACACTCAGTGCTGGTGGGGACAATGGATCCCCAGGGAAGAGAGCAGACTAGGCAGTGAAAAAAGTAAAGCAAAAGTAAAACAGCGCCGCAAGGTATTAACGGAGTGTAAAACTTGTGTTACCCAAATGTTCTTGGATATACTACGCAACATTTCTAAGGGTGAGTGCTCTGGTGAGACCTTATCCTCAAAAGAATAGCTAGTGAAGGTAAAAGTCCAAAAGGAGGTAAACAGAGGGGTAAATAATCAAGGGTATTGGCATACAGCAGACAGAAACTGTTGCTGTAATGTGAAAATCGCTCAATTATTTTCAAGTTTGGAGGATTCATAGAGTCAATGATTTTTATAGCCTGAAATTACAATTTTGAGCTTGTAAACTGAAATCAATACCACCCACATATAGTACAGTAATAGCCTATTTACCAGTGCCAGATGCTAGATGTGTTTGTGTATTCATTGTGGGGTCACAACACACACACACACCTACTCATCAGTCCTCAGCTTCCAGCACAGCACTGATGGAGGGGTTACAGTAAAGTATATAGTCAACACACAGGATAGATATGGCGGCCCGTTAGCATTAAGTCCAAGATCTTACTTTACTGGAGGCTTCTCCATGAACAGCACAATCCACTTTTACACTGGTTATTTCATGACACTTTGATGAATAAAAGATTGAGCCCCCTCTATTGATTTTCAAGAATTGCTCATATCAAATCATGCAAACCTCCTAAATGATTTGTGACAAGTTCTATTCCTTCCAGAAAATGAATCAAAGTTTTTCATTGCACAATCATTTATATTCAACAGTTTGGGTATGGATGTCTTGTAGTGGTATACTGTGGGTACGTGTGTTCACCATTTAAGGTATTTAACTCTGCTATATATCTGATTTATATCTGTTGTGTACACACAAGGCTTATGATGATGCCTCTCACACATTTTCATCTCACATCATATCACATATAGATCCACTTTATCATTGGCATTCAAACCGACACAGTTGTTTGTGATTGCGCTAATGAGCCATAGCAATTATATACGATACAAGCCAACTATATCAAATATCAAATGGAATAAATCAAGCATTAATGTTTCGTCATGTAAACAAACCCCGTACCGGTCAGCTGTGAGCTTGAGATCAGACTGAGGACATGCACTTACAAGATGGGTGAGTATTACTTGCTGTCTTCTGACATTCTTTTAACCTATTTTAAAACAGAAAACATGTGTTTGATATTGTGATATTTACTGGATATTACAATATAGCTAACAACAAGCAGAAAGCTCCATGGCAATCTCCCTCCAGCCAGCTGTCAATTTAGGTTTTTGTAGTGAAACGAGGAGATAACTCCTCGTTTCACCGTCACCAATCAGCTGTTCCTCGTCCATTGCTGTGGTTTTAAGGCCAGTGACAGGAATTACACCCCCCATGTACTGAATCGAGAACTCGAATTTGAATCGGGAATAGTTTTGAATCGGGAATCCAACGAGTCGAACCGATGCCGCAAGAATGGAAAGCGAATCGTGAAACACTGAAAGATTCACAGTGCTCATGCGGATGCTTGATTTGTGCCACCGACGGAGGGTTTTCTAGTAGCTGACTGATTAATGGGTAAGAGTTTTAATCCTGGAATTATTGAAAAGTTCCTCCATATCCATGTGCCGACAATTTCAAGTTGATTTGGCATTGCACATTGGCGGGCATATGCAAGGTTTTATAACTCTTCAATATTGTTTGCCGCACACGTACATTTCCTCATGTGTATGTACACAAACTTCAGCGTGGAGCCATACGCACTGTTTTGTAGTTTCGACTCCTGCTCTGAATGGGTTACACTGTGGACTCAAATGAGTGACCACAAAGTCATCACTTAATAATGCTCTAAGTAGAGCAAGAACCAAAAACCTCTTTTATGTAAAGCGTCATCAATCCTTTCTTCATTATCAGTGATATGCAGACCACATTTTTTACATGTCATTTTGATGCAAGCCCAAACATTGGATATTGAAGTATTTTATCTTGTTTTTATCTTCCAGTTTTTTGCGTGTGTTTACGTTCCCTTTGCTGCTTCTTATCTCTGTATTTTCAGCTACAGCTCACTCACTGAACAAGAGATGTTCCCCTTCAACGTGAGTGGTTATATAAACATTTAATAATAAATCAATAGCGTCAAATAGTGAGAGCAGCTTTCACAGCATCCATATCTCTGTCAGTTTAATCTCTCCTTCCTTGAATGCGTACAAAACAGTCAATCCAATGGTAGCCGGAGGCTTCTCACACTCCTAATCCCTAATCCAAAGTCTAGGGCAGATTAAGAGGAACCCAGGGGACTCCAGTCCTCCAGGGAGGCAGGGATGGATAATTGGATGAATGGGGTTGTGGATAGAATAGTTGGACAAAAGGATGGGAGGATAGTTTGAAAGAAGAAGGCTGAATGCATCCTTTCCATTGCTGTGAGTAATTTGAACAAAATAATGTATTATCGGGAGAATGATACAGGAATCTCCTCACAAGTTGACATAAATTGATAAAGTAAAACAAACAAACATCTGTACTCAGTCAGTGACCCAGATATCCTTAAATGCTATGAGGGATAACCAACTGGTACCCCTCCACAAGCTCTTGTTGAAGTGAGAGTTATCGGATCGATGGCTGCCTGAGGTGCCCATGACAGGCATGATGGCAGATTACCCCCCTCTTCATCTGTCTGTCTCTCTGTGAGACCCCCACCCCCCTCTGCATCCCCCGCCCGCCCTGGTAGGCACATCATCTCGTCTCTTTCTCCAAGGTAAATCCCAGACGGTAGATGCGCGTCCGAGCAGGCAACCGCTGCTGCTCATAGTTGCTGCCTCTTGCTCTCTCTCTCTCTCTCTCTCTCTCTCTCTCTCTCTCTCTCTCCTGGATCTCCTCCCTGTCTCTCATTCCCTCCCTTCCACTCTTTCTCTCTCTCCCACAGAGACGCGGCAAACCTCCTCTTCACCAGCCACCTTGCGTGCCGGCGCTGACGCGAGTATCCGCATACGGAGTGCGGACCGCGGAGTGTCGTTGCGCACATCCTCGGTTCATTTTTCTCCTGATCGCCGAGCCTCATTTTTTTTTTTACCCTCCTGACGCAGAAAGGAAGTGTTGCTTTGGAGCTCTCTTTCATTGTATGCGTTTTAAAGAGCCCTCTCCATCCCAGTCTCTGTCATCTCTACAGGAAACTAGAGACAATTACGGAATATGGCACCTCTCCGTGGTAATGCCATGTGACAAGGCTTTTCGTCATTGGGCATCTCTTTCTCCTCCAACAAAAGTCGGTGGCTTCGTCAGTGTCGCTGTCTAAGTGAAAGAAAGATAAAAATAAATTAAAAAAAGCCTCTGGGCAAAATGGAAGTTTTGGCCGTTGGCTTGGTCCACTGAGGCTGCCGCTGCTGCTGCTGTGGGTTTGGTGATTGGTGCAGCGGGGAAACTGCGTCGCCAAGTCTGAAAGGCTGGGAATCACGGGTCATTACAGCAGGAGCCGCTGTTCAAGATAACGAGGTTTTCCCTCACGCTATCGAATGGTTCCAGATTGATCCACGTAAAATCCAGTTTGCTCTAACGCGACCGACGCTCGGATGCGGGTTGTTTCCTCTGCGGCTCAGCCCACACTGATTTAATGTTGGGAGGAATTTCAACAGGGTGCCAGTCTGTGACTACCCGGGAATCTCTACTCGTTCTCCTCTTCAGACGAGCATTGTACTCTGACGACAAGATCCAAAATATATCGAGGAAGAGATTAAAGGGAATTTCCTAGACCGCCCTACAGATGGACTAAAAGACAGAAGCTTCGGTTCCCGGGATTTTAACTCACTTCGCTCTCACTCAGAGAGCTTTGGTTCTCTCTTGTTTTTGGAGGAGGTAATTCTTGACAACATGAAAGTTATCTCGGCTCTGTTGCTCGTTGCCGTGTGTTGGAGCCAGGAGTGGAAGTCGGCGCTCTCAGATTCAATCATCCACATCGGTGAGTTACTGCGCTTTCTCTCCTCTGACTCGCGGCCACAATAAGGATCTCTGTGCGTCTCTCGGGAAACAGATTGGAGCTTTTACAGCCTCAGCGTGCGCTGCGCCGCTTAAATCACACTGATGGCGATGTCCCTGGCGCCCTGTGCTATTTAGTTGGCATTTCCATGAATGCAGACCGATAATGCACATTGACTTATTTGCAGGCTACTAGTGGAATAACGATGTTTTGTACCATTACGGGCATCGTTTGAATGAACTTTGAATTTGAGTTGGGGGGGGCTTGAACATCAATTGCGTAGACTATGTAAACTCTATTATCTCAGGATTGCTTTAAAGTCGCTTATGTGAGGTGGTGAATATCACTAATGGCTGTTTGGGTTGATCAATAACGGCGGGCGCGCAACGTTTCCCCAGAATTTCCTACAATTGCCGTGTGCGCACAGGATGCGCGAAAAACAGGTGGTTTAGGATGGCGTGATGTTGTCCTGCATGGCAGAGGGATTACCCACGATGACAGAGAATTTTCCACTTTGTTTTCTGAAGCACAATGGCATTACCACCTTCTATCGTGAGCTAGCCTACTGCAGTGCCAGGGGAGAGAAAAAAAAAACGTTTACCGCTTTCCACCGCCACCAGCTTGGTGTGTGGCACTGTTGTGTCGAGTGTGATTTCGACGTCAGGGAGCGTATTCTCTGAGGCGATGTAGCAGCGCCGAGAGGGAGAGAGAGAGAGAGAGAGAGAGAGAGAGAGAGAGAGAGAGAGAGAG